ATGTCATATCGATTTGGGCCCAACTTGAGGTTCAATTTAGGATGGGATCAACTATTACTAATTCTGCCTCAGAGGTTATAAGAAGCTATGTGCAAGGAAAATTCATTTTCCTTACTTCGCGTCCCTGCTCAGTGCGCACACCACTGTTCCCGCCAACAGCTCTGAACAGTGCACTATTACCACTAGCGACACTCGTCTCGACTACTGTTCCCGCCACTGTTCACGACGCGACCCAACCTCGTGGTTCGGTTGGTAACCCGCGCTCCGGACCTCCGCCTCGACAATTCCCAGCCTCGGCGCTAGGGCCCGTAGCGCACCTCATTTTCACACATTACCGTTACCACCCTAGCTTCGCTATATATTCTTCGCTTATGCCTTCGCTCAATACACTGTTTTTGCTTCGATGATGCAACTCTCGCTCGCTCGCTCAATTGCACTCGTACGTATCACTTGGCATTCAAAGCCTACGATTTCTTCTCGGACCGCACACACACCTTCGCTTCCCCACTATCTCATTTTTTTGGGGGGGTAGACGTCTCTCAGCGTTCAGGCACCGCCGCTCCAAGTGCTCTCTCGAAAGCACGCACAGCCACGACAGAGGCTTTCGCTGAGCTTGCCCGACACCCTCGCCATGGCCGAAATTACTCTCGCGACATTGACGCAGAAGCAACTCGACCGGCTCGTACACCAACTCGAAGATTCGGCACTCGATATCACGACATTCACAGCGGAACGTGACTCCGCCCGCCAGCAATCAACGGCGAAAGCACCCGCACCAACACAAGCACCTGCGAATGTATCTGCGCAATCGGATGAGCCGATTGTTATTTCATCCGGCACACCGTCACAACACGACAGCGTGGGACAGCGCTCAGGCGCAGCCAGTGATGGCGCCTCCCAATCAATGCCTGGCATGGAGAGGAACAAGGCCGTACCATTTACGAACGGGCCTCGCGAAGCCCGTCGTCACGTCGGGTTTGCGGCGACGGTTGGCAACAATGTCATCATCGCACCGATGCCGCTCAAGCCGCAGCGCCCGCCCTGTTTCGACCCTAGCCAACGTGGAGGTCCGACGGTTCAATCGTAGGTCTTCACGATGAACGTCTTCTTCGACGCGAATTACGTCGAGTCGGACGCAGCGAAGATACGGTACGCCGTTTCGTTGCTACGGGGCCCCGCCATGGACTGGTGGCGAGTCATTGTAACGTCGCCACGCGCCTACGAGCCACCGTCGTAAGAGGAAGGGCCCACGGGTCCAGCCGTCACCTGGAGTTCGTTCTGCGAAACCGCCCAGTACACCATATGGGATGCGTGGTGTGTAGGGCTTCGGGCGCGCTTCGAGCCGATCGCGGCTTCTATTTCGGCACGTCAGAGACTTCGTACTTGGCGACAGCTTTGGTCGGTCCAAGACTATACGAGCGGATTTCTCGCACTATGCGAGCAAGTCGGTTACATGCACGAGGCGGAGAGGGTGGGCCGTTACTTCGGAGGGCTGAAGCCAAACATCTCGCACGAAAGCATGCTACGTGGGCTATCAAATTTCAACGAGATCATCGCGCTCGCCGAGAAAATTGACATTTTACGCCGTCCGAGACCGGGGTCCTACCACGGACATCATCCTCGGGGGCCGACCGAGCACGCCACCGTATACGCCGTTGCGGAAAATGCAGCTGCCGCGACATTTACGGGGTGCTGCTTTGCTTGCAATAGGCCGGGTCGCCGCAAGAGCAAATGCGCAGAGGAGCTAAGACGCCGCGGAGCAGAGCAGGGGAGGGAGTCTCACAGGCAGGGAAACGCCAACGGTTAGTTGAAAATGGGCCAACTACTGACGAGACAACCTGCTCGCCCAACCTTACAGACCCACACTGAGTCACAGTACCGATTTTCGCCATCGATCGGGCTCGGATGACTAAGGAGGGTACAGCGACGGATTGCCCAATACTGATTTACGGAAAAATACAAGGGACAACAGTGAAGATTTTCATATACGGAGGAGCAAGCCACAGCTTATTTAATACCGCGACTGCACGGAAGCTGCACCTGACGCTTAGCCGCTGTTTATCAGGGATTGACGCACGCTTAGTTGACGGCACGCCATTGGCCATACGGGAGAAAGTGGAGAGGTTGAAAGTTCGTTGCGGATGGAACTTCAAATTTTCACAGGAAATGCTCGCGACGAAACTGGATCGGCACGACATTTTACTGGGACGTGATTGGCTGCGACGCTACAACCCGCGAATTGACTGGACAACGGGTAGTTGCACCATGCGAAGTAGCGGTAACTGGGTCGAATTACCTCGCTGGCAGTCACCTGAGTCTTCGACGGTCCACGTTAACACCATCACGATGAAACGGGCTGTCACCGCTGGAGCTGACGTGTACACGGTGGATATAGCATTGAAAGGAGAAGTAGAGCAGCCGAGTGATTTTCAGAAACTGCTGGCAGCTGTACTGCCCGAACTTCAGGACCTACTGAAACGATACCCGAGATTTTTCCGGATGACTTACCGGAGGGACTGCTACCTGGGGATTTTTCCGGATGACTTACCGAAGGGACTGCTACCTCAGTGGGCACACGACCACCGAATAGAACTTGAACCAGGGGCACAACCAACTGTACAGCGACATTTCAGACTGACACAGCCTAACTCGACGAACTGAAGAAGCTGTTAGATTACCTGTTAGAGAAGCAGTTCATCCGACCGAGCTCGTCACCGTTTGCCACACCGATACTGTTCACACCGAAAAAAGATGGAGGGTTTCACATGTGTATCGACTACTGAGCACTAAACAAGGTAACAGTCAAGTCGTGATACCCCATTCCCTATGCCGACGAACTGATAGATCAACTGCGAACAGCACGGATTTTTCCAAAAATTGATTTACGGAGATGTTACCATCAGATTAGGGTCGAACCAACGGACTGCGCCAAGACGGCATTCAGGACTAGGTACGGGTCATTCGAGTACACCGTCACGCCATTCGTGTTGACCAACATACCGGCAACATTTCAAACGACCATGAACGAGGCGTTTAGGGCCGCTCTTAGATAAATGCGTGATAGTTTATCTCGACGACATTCTCGTCTACAGCCGCGATTAGCAGCAGCACTTGGCAGATCTGGAAGCAGTGTTCAAAATTTTAGACAAGCACAGACTACTGACCCAAGGTTCCAAGCGTGAGCTCCGTCAGAAACTAAGGAGCAGGAATGAATGCATTAGGCAGAAAGTTGGTACAAGTATAACCCTAATTGGGTTGTACCCCATATAGGCTACCCCACTACAGCCTACACAACACACACAACATAATAGTTTGACAAGTTCTTCCATGATAGGTTGGAATTTTTGGGGCACGCTATTTCGGAGGCTGGAGTTGAAATCGACCCAAAGAAGCTGAACATGGTAAAAGCATGGCACCCCCTGACGAATATCATGGAGCTGCAGAGTTTTCTAGGGTTCGTTAATTATGTGCGTCGGTTCGTCCCCGACATGGCACGGTTAACTGCCCCACTGACGGATTTGCTGCGAAAGGGGTCGTTTTTACGTGGGGGAGAAAGAGCATGCTACCTTCTCTGCCCTAAAAAATTGTCTCTGTTCACCGCCCGTCCTGCGCATTCCCGAGCCACACCGCCCATTCGAAGTGGTTACATACGCAAGCGACATCGCCATCGGAGCTGTACTGCTACAGGATTTTGGCAACGACTTACAATCCATCGCACACGAGTTACGGAAACTGCATCCGCGCGAGAAAAATTACCCGATACACGACCGTGAAATGCTCGCGATCGTGCATGCATTCAAGGTTTGGCGCTGTTACTTGATCGGCGCAGACGTGACAGTATGGACAGACCACAAATCACTACAGTACCTCCGCGCACAGTCCCACCTCAACCCACGACAGGTTCGCTTGCTCGACTTCCTCGAGTCGAATTTTCATTACGCGGTCACCTACAAGAAGGGGACATCAAATATCGCCGACGCACTGACCCGCCCCACTGCCCAAATCCACTGCTTGCTGTGCAAACACTTTGGGCCCTGTTCGGATTTTCTGACTTGGCGAGGCCGGGTCGTGGCATGGCTGATATTGCCCCCTCCCCCTTTTTCTCCTTCCCCTCTATTCCTTCCTCTCCTCCCAGCCAGATCCCCTTCATCCCCATCCCAACCACACGGGGTGGGGGAATCCACCGAATTCCTGAAAGCAAGAGGCCGTTTTTTGGGGGGGTAGTTTCCAAACTCCGACGTTATCGCCGTCTGCATGGACAAAAGATCGGAAGAATTGTCGGTGAGGTGTGGGGCACCGTTGCCATCATACACGTGGGGATGGTCTTGTGATGTTCTTGGAAACCCCGCGCACGTCATCTCGATTGTTTCTACGTTATGGAAATTTGACATAACAGCCACACACTTCTCATCCTGGGTCAGCTGCATCTGTATTTTTTTTCTGCCCTTCGGCTTGAAGTCCCCTTTCACCTCTTGGAACGTGCACCGTATACGTAGTGATTTCGGGCACTTGGTTTGGTCGCACCCAGCAAGCCTACCAGTGCAGTGTTTCGCAGTTCACCTGCGGGTTTCTCGGCCAGCATCTGAGCCGACGCTCCCCTGCCGCACACACCTGAGCGCAAACCTTACTGCCGCAAAGCGCCAAGCGGTACCACCACCCCTTCCGCATTCACCGACCCCCCCAAGGTGTGACCCCAACCTGGTGCAACTCCTGCTGCCGACACTACATTGCCCGAAGCCAGGCAACCTGCCCTCCCTTCCCCTCCCCCCTCAAGCTGTACCTTCCCAAATTGTATGGTTGGGGAAGGGAAAGGCTGCGAGCCTGTGAACCTGTGATACAAGGCTTGGGGCATCAGTACTACGGACCTGAAAGCGGTGGTTGATCCGAGTTTTGAGATTTGTTGGTCTTTCAAGTAGCCCATCACTAATCTTGTGCAAGCTGAATCTGCTGACTGCTACACATAGTTGCCGGCCTTCACGATCAAGTCTCCCGCCGCACGAATGGCACATAAGTCTATGGCCGCGTTGCTGGCGGTGCTGCTTCTGCTCCATGTCGGGGGAAGCCTTGCCGTCACTGTTGCTCAGAGAGAGAGTGAGTGCGCGTGTGTGCTTCTAGAGTATATATCCACGTCGTGCAACGCCACGCGATAATCCGATAGGGCCTCTACGAACATATATTTCACTTAGGGTCGTCCATATGTCGTTCACCGTAGTGACGCCCGCCACCCGGATACTGCTAATCAGCCAGTTCATGTCCATGAGGAGCCTTGCACAGTGGTTGGTGGTTGCTTTCCGCCACCCCTCTCCCTTTCCCCCACCTTCTCCCCTACACCGTCCCCCTTCCCCCTTCGCCTCCCTGTTATGTTCTTCTTGCAGCCAACGCGCTGTTATCGCTGAAGTTGACGCTCAAGGGCGATACCGTTCTGAAGAATTGGATTTTCGGCAAAGCTGCGTGCACCAATGCGTTCACGGGCGTCACCTGCAAGAACGGCGTCGTCACAAGCCTGTAAGTCTGCTCACCCCTCCGTCGCTCACCTCTCAACATGCCGGTCTTTGCTGCACCACCACACCGACGTTTTTCCTTATTTCCAGCCACACTGCGGTGCGTTTCTTGCATGCCTTCCGCGTCTCTACTTCCGATCTCGCCATCGCCGGCCGCCATAACCGCATGTTGATGCACGTGTGCGGGGATGTCTGGCGTGGTGGCAGGTCACTGCCCAAGAAGGGTCTGGCCGGCAGCATCGGTACGGTTGTGGGCTACCTCAACAATCTGCGGTCACTGTAAGCTACAGAATCGCTCCCGACTGCGCGCGTTGCTCCCGCTTCTGGCACCGTTAAGTCCGTTCCTGCTATGACCGCACCTACTTGCTCGCTTCCTAGTTACTCGCACCGCGCTTTTCCGCCTGGTTTTTGGTGCCTCGTCCTGACGATTGCGCGTCTCTGCTCGTCTCGCTCGTACGCCCCACATCAGGGACCTCTCCGGGAATGCCATCGCCGGTGCGATTCCCGACGAAGTGGCGTTCTGCACCGCGCTCACGTCCATGTACGTCCCACCCGTCCGTCCGTGATATGCCTGCCGCGCACTTCTCTACATGTCCACGTACTCCGCAGTCCTCGCTCACCTCTCGCCTCTCACGTTCTGAGCGTATTTTTCACCCGCTCTTTGTTACAACCTGACATTCCATTGCGACGTCTCTTTCCGCCGTGCCCCCTTCACAGCAATCTCGCCAACAACAAGTTATCGGGCGCTATTCCCGAAAAGATCGGCAACCTCCTGTACCTCAACTCCTTGTAAACCCCTTCGCCCTCAACACTTTCTTTTTCTGTTGGACCTTTTCGCCCTCGCCGCGCTACCGTGAGATGCGGGCTTCACGTCACGCATTCCGCAACGTGTGTTCTGAATCTTTCTGCCTTGGTGTGCGTGTGCTGTGCGCGACAGGGCGTTGAGCGGCAACGCGCTCAGGGGTGAAGTGCCGGTGAACCTGTTCAGCGCCAAGAGGCTCGGTGTGCTCCTCCTCAACAACAACCAGCTCTCTGGCCGCATCTCCGAACTCACCGGCGATGCCACCAAGTCGCTCATTAACGTGTGAGATGCCCCCCCACTAATCTAAACTGCGGTGCTCATCCTCCCCTGCTCAATTCATCTTTATCGTTCCTGCTCCCCCATATCCGCTCTTTTCCTCTCCCTCCATGCCCGGTCGCCACATTTCGTCAGTTTGTGTTTTTTTCACCCTTTCTTGCCCCTCATGGCGGCCGGTTCTCTCTTTTTGTGACGTTGGTCTCGCCCGCGCGCCCCTGCTCCACAGTGACCTGTCCAACAATAAGATCTCCGGCCCCCTGCCGCCGCTGCTTGTGCGCTCAGCCGGCCTCAAGAGTCTGTGAGTCGGCCTAGCTGTGCTCCTCCTGCCATCCCCTTGCAGTCAGTGACTCACTGCGATGGGTTGTCATGGTGCAAGTGTGAAGGTGCTAACGTACTTTTGTGTGTGAACGCGTTCGCCCTCATGCTGCAGGAACCTTGCCAACAACGATTTCACTGGCGGCTTGCCTGCTGGATGGTTGGGCATGAATAACCTGAAGGCCTTGTAAGCCTCAAACGTTGATGCGCGAACTTTTTCCTGCATTCTCTGTTCCGCTCGTATTTTCACTTTCTAGTTATTTACCAGGTCCTGACGTTTGTGCTGCATGTTAATCATCAGGAACGTGGCTGGCAACGCTTTAACTGGACCCATCCTTCCTGGCATCGCCAACCTCAAATCTCTCGCTACTGTTAACTTCGCCTTCAACAAGTTCTCAGGCACAGTCGGGAAAGCGTTCAAGAAGTTTAAGACTGGGTAAGTTGCCTGCCTTGCGTTTATGTTGAGCTGAAGCCAGGATTGAGCTGACGATGGTGTTGTGTTTGGTTCTCGCAGGTTCAAAGGCAACGCCCAGCTCTGCATTGACTTCAATGGCGATGGTAAGTGTGAGGCTGCTACCTAATCCGCCGCGCTGGTACACTGATTTGCGCTTCGCTGGATCCTTGCCGAACTTCTGTCAAGCGTGTATTCTTATGGTATTTTGCTTTGAAGGCTTTGCCAAGTGTGATCTGTTCTGGCAGCAGACCTTTGTATGCCTAAGGAAAATTTGTAGTACTAGACATACCGATGGACAATATACCATCTTGGATTTGGCCTCGAATGCAAGTTCAAGATCATCTATTCAACCTAAGATGAATGGTCATGTAGCCATTGTAGTGCTTGCACTGCTGCGATTGTCTGACCCTGCCTGCTGTATTTTGAATAATCAACGCTCATCCACTGTTAATATCTGCACTCAAAAATAGCACCACCTCTCAAATCCCCTGTTAATATCTGCACGAAGGAGAACTGCTCTGCACTCCCTAACCTAGAAGGCAATAACGTAAGTGTACCATGTTTCCTCCCAGCAACCTGGCTAATGCACGTATGTCGAAGCATTCTCGTACTATCAGTTTTTGACCGGTCTTCATTTTATATTTCTGACAAGCACTGGGTGTTCTACGATTCTTGCATTCCATAAGAAACTCCCGTACGTACCTCTAAGACTGAGGGTCTTTTATATGAGAATTGATGGAGGGACACCCTGCCAGGAAACCCAATTCCAGCCTCTCCCACTGAGAATATAAACAAGTAATTCATTTGATCCTAGTAATTACAGACTTCCCAGCTTGTTTCATTATCTGACAACACGCATCCCTGATTAGGGAAAGAATGAACAAGTATTGCGATCGCAGAAAAGCAGCAACTCTGTACTCTGAAAACGTATTGCACCTGAAATTCTGCTCCGTGCCGTCCGAACCTAGCCGAGGCCCCCAGGCACCTGACATCGGAAATAGCTGAACTCAGTAATCTGGGGAAGTACCTGTGAGCAGGTTGTGTCAACATCCTGCAATGTGGCTGAAATTGCTTCGCTGAGGTCAACCATCCATGACAGGAGGAAAAACATCTGCGCGGTGTAGAAGCGATGGTGTATATCCAGCAAAGCAACCACTGTACAACTAATTTAAAGAACAAAACACCACACAGGGGTGAAATTGTTCTTGGGTCAGGATGGCGAACGGGCTGGCAATTGACAAGTGTGCTTGTGTTGTGACTGGAGATGAACAAGGCTACACGTACCATTGTTCATCCAATCAGCAATCACCCCACCTCTCATCCCTCCCTGATTTTTCGCTCGGTTCTCCCCCCACGCCTGCTCTTCCCCCCTCCCCACATCCCCCCAAACCCCTCCACCCCCGCTTCTCACCACCAATCACCCATATCTGAGCAGACAACCCCCCTCTCATCCGAACCATTCACATCCAAGTGGCCTCCGCTCGTTCGGTATTCAAGCTAGGCCTCCCACCCCTTTCCGCCCAACTTTCCTATTTTCGAGGACCCTAGCTCCTCAAGTCATTCCTGCACCACGGTGCCCAACCCAATTCTTGTTGACCTTGCTCCTCCGCTGGAATTGCTGATTTCCAGATTCTAGCTTTTGTGCCCCTCTGTTCAAATTCCAGCTCGGGGAGGCTATCAGCGTGGTGGATCCCGAGGTCTGAAACTGGGCTCCGCTGTTACCATTGGTTCGCATCATCCAGGGAGATAACGGGCGGTGGGCGTTGCGAGGTTGCTGTGGGAAAGCAGCCGCGATGATGGAGCACCGGTGGAGCTCCACGAGGACATGCGGATGGATGCTTCTCGCAACAACATTGCTTTCTGCATTTACTGTTGCGCATTGCAACTTCAATAAAACGTTTCAGACGGATGGTAACTTGCCAGCCATCAGCAAGGGGTCCAAGGTTTTGTTTATTTGTTTGCTGTTTTGTTTTTGCGTTTTGTTTTGTCCGCCCATCCTTCCCTCTGGCCTCGTTGTTGCATCGTTAACCGTCACATAACTTCCTCTCTACGCACAGCATCGCCTCTTCCTTCCTCATCTACATATAATCATGATACATTATTGTCCATTACGGGACCGCGGCTTTTTCTTGACGGCTGCTATAACCATGCGTGATTCCTGGTGCCCCTTTGCCTTTTGCTCCATGCGCCGCGGCTAACGGCAGTGCTGACGCTGAATCTTCTCAAGAACTCGTTCCAGTCGAGCGTCGGAGCGCTGAGCTCGTGGAAGGGCCCGCACCCCTGTGCCCCCGGCGCCGACAGGTGGAGGGGCATCGGCTGCTTCAAGGATCTGGAGAAACGCAGCTACTATGTCGCCAATATGTGAGCTTCAAGCCATTGCAATCCTAGATCCAAGATCTTACGTTGGAATGCAAGCCGATAACTTAGAAGATGGTCTTACTTGAATTCCCGGGCACGATTTGAAAAAGAGCTTCATAAAATGTCTGAAAGTGTCCGTCAGTCGGCAGAACGTAAGTAACGTTCCAGATACCCGGGCAACATCAATCCTCCGCTAGTTGCGCAGCGATGGGCCGGGTGAAGCTCGCGCCGCTGCTTCGTACCGCGCATCGACGAACAGTTATCTTTTCTCAAGATTCGCCGCATGCTATTTCTGCTCTCCCGTCATCATCTAATTTGTTTTCCGTTGGTTCATCTTCAAGCTCCTCCTGTCTGTTAACACCCTGTTCTCTGCCCCTGCCCCGTTATTCCTTCCTCTCGGCGAAACAGAGACCTGAAGGGGTTGGGGCTGCGAGGGGTCATTCCCGAAGAGATAGGCAACTTCAAGTCCCTCCGCCGCCTGTGAGCACCGCCCCCCCGTTTCTCCCCGCGCTCGCCCTCGTGCTGCGCGGCCCTCGTGCAAGAAGAATGTCGTTTCTCCTGCTGCTCCGTTTCTGATGCGCGGCACGCCCTCGTTCCGTTCATGAATGGGGGACATTGCATCTAGTAATTTGACACGTGTGCTGCAATAGCATCGCTCCTCTCTTTCAATGACCAGCATTTCTCCTCCCCCACCCCACCTTCCCACCCCCCCACAACCACTCCACCGCCTGGCCCCTTCCACTGAATCCTCACACCTCAACATCCTTCTGTTGGTCTCTCCAACGTGTCCCCTGCGTGCGCGCGTGCGTGTGCGAGCAGCGACCTATCGAACAACAGCTTGGCGGGAGCGCTGCCGTCGGGAATGGCCAAGCTCATCAGCCTCAAAACGCTGTCAGTTCCCCCTCCCCTACACGCGCTCCGCCGCGCAACCCGCGCATGCTCGCTTCGCGCAAACCCCGCATGCTCGCTTCGCGCAAACCCCGCATGCTCGCTCGTGCAGGCATGAAATTGTCAACTTCTGGGGCGTCTAAAACGTTATTCCTTCCTGCTTTCTCCTGTCCCTGCCCTCGCCCTCGCACATGCCTTCCCCGCCGTTTGCCCTTCCCGCGCCGAGCATAATCCGATTCGTGTCCCCCTTGCCCTCGTATTCCGCGCGTTCCCCTTGGTGCGTATGGCGCGCAGCATTCTGAACAACAACCAGTTCACGGGCAGCATCAAGGGCATCATCGGCATGCCCAACCTCCAGATCCTGTGAGCCGCTTGCCGCGCCGCGCCTTGCACTCACCCGCTGCAAGGCCCTGACACGCAAGTAGATTCACGCAGAAGCTGCGCCCAATCGCTGCGCACGAGTGGGCGGAGCGTTTGTGAAGCGGGCTTGTGGAATTTGGACGAGGAATGTGCCATGTCATGGCGTGCAGCCGTCGCGCTGTGTGCCCTGAATACCTTAGACTGCCTTTTCTTGCCATCTATGGTTGAGGGATATATTTTTTGCCGTTGCAGCACGGTGACGCGCCATGCGAGCTGCTGTCACTGTCTGCATGCGTGGTTCGTCCGCACACTGATTCTCATACGCACCCGCACGCACACACGCACGCACACACGCACGCACACACGCACGCACACACGCACGCACGCACACATTCACGGTCTCCCCAAACCTGACCCCCCCCCGCCCATCCCCCGTCGTTCCCCTTCCCCCACGCCTTCCCCCCCGCAGGTCCGTGCGGAACAACAATCTGTTTGGGCGGCTGCGCAATCTGCTGACCACGATGAACATGCTGGAGCACGTGGACCTCAGCTACAATGATTTCCGCGGCAAGCTGCCGCGCAAAGTCAGCCTCAAGCACCTCAAAACCTTGTACGCTCGCTCGCTCGCGCCACCTCTCCTCTCCGCTCCCTCCCTCCCTCCTCGCTTCACCCGCCTCATCACCCGCGCTCGCTCTATCCTTCGCAAGTTCACTCATTCGCGTTTGTTTGTTCGTTCGTTTCCATACCCTGTTCTGTATCAGCTTCCCCGCAGTCTAGGCTCCTCCGCGCAGTCAAGTGAATCGTTCCCCTGTAACATGATTGGTGTTTTTTCTGCCATGCCCTCTCCCCGTCTGCGCGGGGCTATGCTGCAGTGCCGTGTCACACAACAATCTCACCGGCAACCTCCCATACGGCTTGCACTCCTCCAAACTCCTGGAGACGCTGTTAGTGCCCATGCCTGCCCTCTCTCTCTCGCATGCTCCTGCGCTGCCTCTTCTGCACGCTATTGTGCCGCGCAGTACCATGCAACGCGTCTGCCTCCGCCGTTCCGTGTTTCGCCCTGCTTACGCGTGCGCTGCATTGCACGTCCCCGCGTGCTCATCCTCTCATGTGGCCTCTCCAACGCCTTCTATGGCTTGTCAAATGTCCCCACCCTTGAACGCCCGCCCCCCTGGTGTTTCTGTCTGCGTGGCAGCGATATGAGCTTCAACCAGTTCGTGGGCGTGATTCCGCCCATCTGGGGCTCGCTCACCAACCTCAAGAAGCTGTAAGCCGCCTGCGGTCTCCCCCCCCTCGCCTCCGTATCCCTGCCCCGTCCTTTCTCGTGGTCTCGGGGTCACTTGATGTAGCGCTTGCCAGGCTGTCTAGCTAGCGTGAGAGGGAGGCGTGTGGTAGGTTAGGGTAGGTCAGGGCAAGCTGTGCATGGCATTCCATGAAGCATGCTCTCACGGCTCCTGTGCTTCACACCACGTTCAGCGCTTCCCTGCTGTCTTCCTCGTTTCTTCCCGGGCCCTGACTCTCTCCTTCCTCCGCCGTGCCATCCATGTCATGTTTCCTGCACGATGCTGTGTGTGTGTGTGTGCTCCTGCGAGCACGCGCGCGTGTGTATGTGTGTGCGCGCATTTGCGCGTGTTGGTGCGTGCGTGCGTGCGTGCGTGCGTGCGTGCGTGCGTGCGTGCGTGCGTGCGTGCGTGCGTTCGTTGGTGCGTGTGTGCGTGCGTGCGTGCGTGTGCAGTTTCCTGAACGACAACTTGCTCAACGGCTCGCTGCCAGTGGGGATTGCAAGCTGCGTCAGTCTGCAAACACTGTCAGCCCCCCCCCACCCCTGCCACATCTGCCCACATGATTCATTCCGCTCCCGCTCTTGCTTTCCTGACATGCAGCCACCACCAACCATGCTCTTTCATTGTAATCGCTGCAGCTCCCATTCAGCTCGCCTCTGCTTGCCCTGCCCATGCAAGCTTCTGGTTGTCTACGTGCATGTGCGGCTGGGTTTACGAGTATGGGCGTGTGACTGAGCCTGAAAGCACGTGTGCGCCACCTGTGTGTGTGTGCGCCTCGCCTCTCCTCCCTCGTGCGTCCACCAGCGAGCTACAGAACAACGCGCTGGGAGGCCCCATCCCGCCCAAGTTCGCGCTGATGCCGAACCTCAAGGAGCTCTACATCTATAACAACAACTTCTCCGGCATGCTCTCGGGGACCTACAAGGCGCACAAGATCCAGCTCTTGTAACCACTGCCCGCCCCTCCTTGCTCCCATGTGCTCCTGCTCTAGCACGCCCTGTATATATGTGTGCCGTTGCTTATGTCATGTGATACCGCACTTAGAGGTGCTCTCAGTCTCCTGAACCCCCCTTCCCCTTCCCCCACTTTCCACCCTTCCCCTTCCCCCGTGCCCTCTCTCCCCTCCAGCGCTGACGGCAACCCATACCTGTGCGCTGATTACGACAACAACGGCAAGTGCGACTCGGGCAAAAACCCCGGGCTGCCCTCCAACCCCAACCTCTCTCCCCCCGTCGAGCCCGCCCAGCCCCCGCCGTCTGAGGGGCCGGTCGAGGGGACCCCGCCTGCGGGAGAAGCAGGAGGGGCAGGGGGCGAGGAGACAGCAGCAGCGGCGCAGGTGGTGTGTTCTGCGGGGCAGACAGAGAGCTGCACGTGCGCGGAGGGGCAGACTGGCGAGAAGAAGTGCCTGGACGACGGCACTGGCTATGGGGAGTGCGTCTGCGCTGCTCGTACGTTGCTCGCTGCGCTGCTGGGACTGGATTGATGCACCGAGGCCGTTTAGGAGGGGGCATAGGGGGTGTGTGAGATGGGGAATGGATGGGGCTGTGGGTGTGGGAGAGGCTACGGGGAAGAATGGGATTAGCCTGGGAGGGAGGAGCCAAAAGGCTGTGAAGTTCTGAACGGCGGCCATTGCGGCGCATGCGTGTTGTCCTGCCACGTGCATCATCTCTTTCAACGACTCACATGACACGTGACTCTCCGCCTAAAACCGCTCTGTGCCTTTTCCATGCATCTTCTTTTCAATGTCGGTTCATCCAATTGCTCCCTCCCACTCTTTCCTTTGCACAACATAGCACCGCCCACCCTCATCCCCTCTGCACGACCCCTTCCTCCCCTCTCCCCCCTCTCCCCCCTCACCCCCCCCCCCCATTCTCTCCCCCCCTCCCCCCTCTCCCCCTCCCCCACTCTCTCCCCCTCCCCCTCCCCCTCCCCCCACCCTTCTCCCTCCCGAGCCAGCGCCCCCGCCGCCAGCATCAGGGGGGTCATCCTCCTGGAAGTGGCTGATAGCGCTGCTGGTGCTGATCCTCATCGCACTCCTCGCCGTGGCGGGCTACTGGGGCGTCAAGTCGGGCTTCATTGGCAAGAGCAAGGGCGCGGGCTGGGAGTACGTGGGGCGCGTCAAGGCGTTCCCCGACATGAAGGCGTACCGCTCGCACGCGTACGATCCGGATGATCTGGACGGTTACGGCGTGCCCGCGTTTGACTCCTTGCCCAAGCACCCCAGCGACGGCTCGGCCGCCAAGACAGGTGTGTGTGGGGTGGCGCGTGTGCGGGGAAGGGGGAGTCTGGGTGGGGGAATGGTGATGGGGAGGTGGAAACGGAGAGGGGGAAGGGAGGGAGGGAGGGTGGGGTTGGGAAAGGGGGAGTGTGAAAAGGAACAAACAATCAAGGGAGGGAGGGAGGGTGGCTTTTCAATCAGTGTTTTGCACTGCTGGCGTCTTACCTCTCTAACCCAATACCACACCACTGCTCCTTCCACAACCGCACCCGCTCCCCTCCTCCCATTACCCCTCCACACCTCCCTTCCCAAGTCACCCACATACCTTCCATCCGCCCCGCACACCCTTCCCCCCATGCCACCCCCCCTTGTACCAGGCTCAGCAAAGCTGACTCTCACGCGCTTCTCCCTGCACGAGCTACAGCTGGCAACCAACAACTTGAACGTGGAGAAGGGACGCACGCTCAGCTGACTTCTGAGTCGACTCACAAGTCCCTCCTCCCCCACCCACCAGGCTCAGCAAAGCTGACCCTGACGCGCTTCTCTCTCGACGAGCTACAGCTAGCGACCAACAACTTCAACGTGGAGAACGTCATCAGCACGGACGGCGTGTGCCGCACGCTCAGCGGCGTGCTGCCCTCGGGGCTGTACGTCGCAGTCAAGGAGCTCGACCCGCTCGCGCACGAGTCCCCCGATTCCTTTGTCGCGGCGGCGGAGATGTTCAGTGGGGTGCGGTGCCCGCAGCTGGTGGAGGTGCTGGGCGTGTGCGCGGATAGGAACAGCGGGGGGCGGCGCCATCACCTGCTCATCTATGAGCTTGTGCCCAATGGCAGCCTTGACATGCACCTCCATGGTATGCTGCCACCGCCCGCCTCGACTCCCTGCTGCCATCTCCTTGCTTGCCATCTCACTTCATTCCCCCCTACCTCTCCCCGCCTCCCTCCTCCCCCTCCTTACCCTTCCCCCCACGCTTCTTCTCCTGCCTTCTAATTTCTCTCATTCTTCACTCTATTGCCGCTTCATCTCCCTTCCTTGTCACAGTATTCCCACCCTCCCCCCCGTTCCCCATCCTGCTTGCTCTTTCTGTTCCACTCTTATCCCCTGCATCCCGTCTCCACGTCACCTCACTCCCCCCCTTACCCACCCCTCTCGTCACCCCCATCTTGATGTCCCCTTTGCGACCCAACCCCCACCCCCACCCCCACCCTCCTCCCTGAAACCCCCTCCCACCCCTCTCCACCGCCTCACAGACCTGGAACCCGGCACGCTGCCCCTGGACTGGACGACGCGCATGTGCATCTGTCTGGACGTGGCCAAGGGGCTGGCGTACCTGCACTCGCTGCACCCGCAGCTGATGCACCAGGGGCTGCAGGCCACGTGCGTGGTGCTGGACGACCACTTCCACGCCAAGCTCGCCGACTACTGCCTGCCCACGCTCGCTGCTAACAGCTCCGGGGGCTCCGCTGCTGCGCGCACCTCTGCTCTCACCCACTCCGTTAACATGGTGCGGTGCTGTGCTGTGCGGTGCTGTGCTGTGCTGTGCGGTGATGTGCTATGCTGTGCGGTGCTGTGCTGTGCTGTGCTGTGCTGTGCTGTGCTTTACTCACGCGTGCTCACATCAGTGCTGCCCACTCTCTCAGCTATGCTGCCCACGTGTGCCACTATTACCTGGAGCTCACACACCCTTCCCTTCTTGCCTTGAACCACTGCGCCTCTCATTCCCTTCCCTGATACCTCCCTGCGCCCTTCGTTTTCATTCCTCTCATCCGCATCCCCCCCTCCCCGCATCCCCCTCTCCCCGGGTCATGCCCCACCCCAACCCTGTCCCGCACCTGCACATCTCTCCACACATCCATATTGGCCCATCACCACCCCCACACACCCACGACCACTGTGTGCAGGCGGTGGCAGCGGGCACGGCGGCACCGGAGCTGGCATGGGCGTCGGAGATGACTCCGCGTGTGGACGTGTATGCCTTCGGTGTGCTGCTGCTGGAACTCATCACCGGCCGCCGCCCTGTTGACAACGCGCGCCCGCCCAACGAGCAGAGCCTTGTGCACTGGGTGCGTGCAACGCTGCATGGGGGATGGGGGGATAGGCGGATGGGGGTGGGAATGCAGGCAGATGGGGTTGGGTGGGCAGGGATGGGTTGGGGGCGGTGGGGGGGAAGTGGGGAGGGTAGGGGGTGGAGGGTTGGGGATCATGTGCAGGTTCCTTTACGACTTGATAGCTGCCCGGTCGTCTTGTAAGCTGTCATCTATTCTCTTGCTGGTACGGCCATGTCCTTGACCCTTCACTCTCCACCCCACACTACCCCCCCCCACTCTTCTCCCCCCCCCCACACTCTGTGCAGGCCAAGTCGCGGTTGTCGCAGCGGTCGCTGGTGGAGGCGATGGTGGATGAGAAGCTGCACGGCTCCATCTCCACTGCTGCCCTATACCAGGTGTGCTGCTGCTCCCTGCTCACATGCATGCCCACTTGCACGTGCACGCGCATGCCATGCACGTGCATGCCCACGCACATTGGCACACACATGTACATGGGGACACAGGGACCGCTTGCGCGCATGTGCTCTGCTGTGACCAATAACTCCGCACCCATCACAACTTGCTCAAAGCGTTGGTATCACCCCAAAGTCCTCGTGCTAACCCATCATGACCCCGTTGCTGATTTCCCGTGGTCGTGGGATGTGACGATGTGACGCGTGACTTTCCATCCCTGCAGGTGGCGATGCTGGCATCGCAGTGCATCCACTCGGACCCTGAGGCCCGTCCCACCATGGCACAGGCGGTGGAGATGCTGGTCAAGGTGCAGAACCTGCCACTCGACTCCACCTCCACCCGCCAGACCGCGGTGAGTTCATTCGCCTGCATGCACACACATGGGCATGGGCACAGGGATGTGCACAGGCGCACGCACATGCACAAGCGCAGGCACATGCACACGCACAACAGCACCATACACCCCGCGTACCCTCTTCCTCGTCTCCCCCACCTACATGCACATGCTGCCTATACCACATCAACAACACCATTCCAGAGTCAACCATGACTGTGGATTTGGCTGGCATGGCATGCACAGAACACTACGTTTGTAATTGAGAGCATTGCACTGAACTCCTACAACACCGCTCTCCTCCCTCCCAGCAGGCGTATCACAAGGGCCCTGCCACGTACAACAAGAACGTGTGAGGTTATCCAGCTATGCCAGCATGCTCACCTGCTCCCAGTGGGACCGCAGCTGAGCGGTTGCAGAGCGGCATGCAACAATTGGTGACGGCGGCACGGCACTTGCTTGGAACCGGCTCCACATTCCTTTCTCTCATGTGTCCGATGGCACTCATGCATATCATATCGTATCGTATCGTATCAATCGCCTTGGGACGAGCCACGCACATCCGTATTCATATCTATGCCATATAGGTTATAGTGTGGGGGAAATCACAATGCTGCGCCTTGTGTGCATGGCACTGCTGTGCCTTCAACATGGGCAAGCAGGGACGAGAGGACTCAACATCGCTACAAGTCATTTTCTTTCTGGGTAGAAACATTATTACTTGTCATGTTGACAGGTCATAATGCACTTCCAGGAATTAGATGTAGCTGATTTGTCTGGGTGTAGTGACTGTCTGAAGCGTACGTACAGTAAGCTGGTAATTGTGAGTCTATTACAATCCATATGTGCTGCAAAATCTTGTGTGGAAATCGTGCGTGCATGCTGCTATGTTTTTATTCATAGGGCACTTTTATTCATAAAGCACAAGAGGCAATGGCAAGGCGAAAATAGGGCTTAAACTGAAGCTAAATTGATATGACACATAGATTGAAGCATCATTCATCTATTACTAGAGTATGGCTCTAGATTTAACCTTGTATTCATACATATAACTTCACGCTAGTACAAATAATTCATATATTTCACCTGCCGGTATGCCAAGGCAACAAAACTCAATTCATAACAACCATTCATATATTACACTTGCCGGTAAGCCAAGGCCACATATTGTTCGTATCGTACGAAAAGAATCGCGAGGAACAAACTCTCAGGTTGTGGCAGATTCAAGAGTGCATGTAGTGGCACAGCCGCACATTCTGTACCACACCGCCTCCCCCCTCGCCTCCCAGCCGCCACTCTTGCACCCCGTCGCACGCCTTGACAGCTCATCCCCTACCACATGGCCTCCCAATCACCACTTGCCGTACATCATGCCATGGGAGGGATTCTCCTCCCTTTACCTTCCACTGAACCCCAAACAGCTTCCACTCAAACATCAGAGGAGTTTTAGCCCAAATTGTTGATAATTGAACCACCAAAGAGGATTCAGCCCCCTTCAGTGTCACTCATCCACACATGGGGTTTCAACCCGCTTTCCTCTCACCCACAGATGCATCAGCCTTCATCCTTCTTGCTCATCCAGGGGTTACAGAACCTTTCCCTCTCACTCACTCACGGAGAATCAGCACCCTTATCATAAAATCAACCACCCAAGGAGATTCACCCCTTGGGAAGCGAGAGGGTAAGATGGGAAGAGAGACGGGGAGATGGGGGGAGAGAGGGGAAGATGGGGGGAGAGAGGGGAAGATGGGAGGAGAGAGGGGAAGATGGGAAGAGAGAGGGGAAGATGGGAAGAGAGAGGGGAAGATGGGGGGAGAGGGTAAGATGAGGGGAGAGCGGGAGAACAAAGGGGAGAGCAGGGATGACGAGGGGAGAGCGGAAAAGATGAGGGGAGAGCGGAAACGATGAGGGAAGGGGGATGAAAATGAGGGGAGGACGGTGAAAATGAGGGGAGAGCGTGGAAGCTAAGAAACGACGTTGGTAGGTTGGGGTATAGGGCGGAAAAGGAGCGACAAGGAACATACATACCTGACTCGCCACGCACCTTGAAATTGTGGTCGACGCGGAACTGCGGCACTCCTGCTCTGCTCTCAGCCTCGGGAAAAGGAAATTGCGCCGATAAGGGGAAAGGGGGAGCGGGAGCGGGTGGGGGGAGGGGGGTGGGGGAAGGGAAAACAAGGAGAAAGTGGTCGCCACTCCGTGTTACCTTTCGCCACTCCATTCCGTCCTCAAATAGAGGCATTCGCCCGTCCATCCCCCCTCTTCTCCCTCAAATTGAGGCTTTCACCTGCATTCCTATTTTTTACCGTCTGCGCCCGGGCTCGCCGACGCGCTCCAAGTCAAGGAAACCTCCTGTTCAATCGACGGTACGCGCTACGTTGCTGACGCATCCGCAATCGACGCCACTCATTTGTCCGGACAAACGTCACTATTTCCGTCGGCAATCCGCAAGTACAGTAAATGTCAGATATGGAACGCGCAACTTACATTGTCGTACTGATACTGCTCTGTCTAATATCAGAGCTGACTCTACGATCACGCCACTAGACGGGTAAAGCGATTAGCACGATAACGTCAGTGACATCTGCTACGCTTCTGAAATTGGTGCTGCAATTACATCGACTGCCGCGCTGAGATCTGTCCTAACAAGATGAGTGGCAAAACTACTGGTGAATGGAGATTAGGTTGAGGTAATGTTATTCACACCCTCGCTATTGCATCTGTACTGGATAGGGACGGGTGAGAGGCGTGGCAGGTTCGGAGATACCAGGTTCGGTTTGTTGATAACGCTGTGGTGGAAGTGCCAGGGTGGCGAAAAGATCCACCACCCGATTGGTTCGCACAAATTTAGTCTCGTCCACCCATTGTTTTTCCAGATGCCCGAATAAGGTTCATAAGCACAAAAGTGAGTCAGCTGAACTTCTCAGCTCCTCCACGCACGAATCCCACAACCAAACCAAAGCCGTCCCGCACCTCACGCCGAACTAAAAAAACTCATGAACCAACTAGCGCCACGCCAACCACCACCCAGAAAGCACGAGTGCGCCCCAGCACACCAGCAGGTCCAACGAAACCCCCACATATAAAATACGCGCCCTTAGCCAAATCGTTTGCACATACAGATAAAAGCAACCAATAGACATATTTTGACCCAACTTTGTGCACAGTACCATGAATGTACAAATTGGGTTGGCTGGACAGATAAGACTGGGACACATTTCGATCGAGCCGCCTCAACATCTTCGCCACGCGCCCTCGGGGACTGTCCACTGCCGCTTAGTCGGCGGGGCATTTCATTGGCCAATGGCAAAAGCCACCATCAGATGTAAGCCCATGCCACAAACAGATGTAATCGTCACCGTTGAGGGCCACTACATTACCACCATTCATCCATTCGAAAAACACTCTGCTTATTGTCGCACCGCGCACCCAGCCTAGTGTCAGTGATTCCCTCCCACCCGAGCAGTTCAATAATGTCGACCCCTTCCCACCGCACTGCACCAAGGAAAATGCTTCAGCTTTCTACTACTCATACTACATTGACCCATCACATTTGGGTTGATGCAGCGGTAGGACGCACCATGGCGGCTGAATTGCTGATTTGAATTCAGTCTCATTCATTCATCAGCAGCAGCCTACTCTTCCTTCTGTTGCAAATTCTACCTTTTGCTATCTTTTTTAGCATGACTAACCAAGTTCTGTCAATGTCGTCCATTTTCATCCTTCTCAACTCAAACTCACGGAAGGATTTTCAGAAAGCTCCAACCCAATGAGCTTAGACTTCAGGCTAGAAGCTCCCCGGAGCAAGCAGAGCTACTTGAAGTCACCTAGTTGGTACACGGTGAAGCCCGAGGCACAGCAGCGTTGAGTTAGATTAGAGGTCGGGTTGGTGGGTGGGTAGATTAGAGGTCGGGCTTGTGGGTGGGTAGATTAGAGTCCGTGAGAGAGTGAGCTGCTAAGTGTCAAAGGCTAAACCGTGAGCTACTAGGAATTATCGCGGCAACCTTTTCACCGCGACTATTTCATAATCTCCTACGCAAGATCTAGATGGCGAGCTTCTTCTGCAAGATCTTTTCATGACACTCGCTGTGGAGGAGATTTTACTTCGCGATCTACGCTCAAAGAGCGGCTAAAGAGCGGATGGTGCTTCAAACTCAAGCTTCGTAACCCAAGCAAAGCGGGACGCACTCAAGCCAACCTGAAGCCGATTGGTCCAACCACAACTCAAGAATTGGCTCTCACCGTCTCATGGCCGTTGGCGCTTCAAGCATGAAAGCCGTGAGGACTCGAACGTCGCGGACCTGAAAGGCCGGACTCGCCAACTGCCGTCGCGGATGGATCCGTCTCGGCGACCGTCTCGGCGACCGTCTTGGCGACTCGAAAGCGACTCAAGCGACAACGCAGCAGCGATCGCCGACGCTTCAGGTGCTTCATGGTACCCCCGTGGCGCCTTCCCTGCTGGTGCAGTTTCTCCCGTCTCCGGTGGAGTGGAGGTAAGTGCTGTTGCCGTTTCATAAAATCGTTCTAACAATCGCGCGTCGTTTGCTTTTCACGTGCTTTTGAGAACTTTTCCAACTCAGTTCACGTTTTTTCCTGCAGACGAGCGTCTTGCCGTTTATGTGAGCATCTTCTCTCGCAGGAGGCGGAGCAAGTCAAACTTTTCTCTTGGCGAGCGCCAAGATTCTTCCACGGCGAGCCGTCATACGAAAGCCACACCAAGCGACGATGCTGTAACGCTCGCGGCTTGTCATCGCAGTCGTCGCCGAGATGTGCTCGCCGGTGGCGCGGCGACATTCGCGGAGATTCGCCAAGAAGGTCGGGAGGAGGTATGTGTTTATCAACTTATTCCTGCAACCGTCCTTTTATTCGTTTTCCAAACCGTCCTTAGATCTGTTTTTGAGAAATCCACTTTCTTTCTGCAGATGATCATCTTGCCGTTATGGGACGACTATGCAGTCACGCTCGCGGCTTGTCATCGCAGTCGTCGCCGAGATGTGCTCGCCGGTGTCGCGGAGATGAGCCGGGAAGCGGCAAGGTCGAGTGGAGGTATGTGTTTATCAACTTCTTCCTGCAACCGTCCTTTTATTCGTTTTGTAAACAGCTACTTGAATCTGTTTTTCAGAAATTTTCTAACTCGTTCCACTTTCTTTCTGCAGATGATCATCTTGACGTTATGGGACGACTGTTTATGGGAACGATGTTCCTTCTTTATGAGTGAAGATGGCTTCAAGCTCGTCGTGGTGCCTCCCCTGCCCCGTCGCGCCGCCAGTACACCTCTTCACCGACGCAGTGGAGGTAAGCGCGTCGTATTAACAATCGCGCGTCGTTTAAACACGACTCTTTCTGCAATCGCTTTTTGGGTAACAAGCTGACTAACCTGTTGCCGTCTCCTTCAGGCCTTTTAACGACGAAGATCCCGTGAGGTCCTTCTCCTTCTCGCCGCCTTTAATAAACATGGCTTCAAGCTTGTCGCGGCGCCTCCCCTGCCACGTCGCGTCGCCAATACAAATCTTCTCCGAACGCTTCTCTTGGCGAGCCGCCAAGTTTCTTCCACGGGGAGCCGCCTGGCCACACGAAAGCGACGATGCAGTCGCGCTCGCGGCTTGTCATCGCAGTCGTCGCCGAGATGTGCTCGCCGGTGGCGCGGCGACATTCGCGGACATGCGCTTTATCCGCCAAGAAGGTCGGAAGGAGGTATGTGTTTATCAACTTCTTCATGCAACCGTCCTTTTTTTTTTCGTTTTCGTCCTTAGATCTGTTTTTGAAAGGGTTTCTTACTGATTTCACGTTTTTTCCTGCAGACGAGCGAGTTGCCGTTTATACGAGCATCTTCTCTCGCGGGAGGCGCTTGACAAGCGCTTCTCTTGGCGAGCCGCCAAGATTCTTCCACGGCGAGCCGCCTTGGCCACTCGAAATCGACGATGCAGTCACGCTCGTCGCGGCGCCTCCCCTGCCCCGTCACGCCGCCAACAAGTCTTCACCGACGCTGGAGGTAAGCGCGTCGTTTCAAAAATCGCGTGTCGTTTGCTTTTCTGCAACATCGTCTAAAGAAGTCTCTTTCTGTAATCGCTTTTTGGGTCTCCTGCAGGTCCTTTAACGACGATTGACCATCGCCTTGGGGAGGAGCGATTACTTCAGCGAGCCTTAGCGAGACGCACGGGAAGCGCGACGCACGGAGTGACGGATGGCGACGCACGGGGAGGCGCCATTAGCAAATTCGCACGGGGAGGCGCCTTTAGCAGCACCTCGCTCGGGGTAACGTGACCTTCAGCACCTCGAATGCCAGTCATTGAATCATTCACCTCCGTTCTTAGCTTCTTACTATTTCAGTTTATTGACGGCTTCTTGTTTTTTTCCTGCAGAACCTTACCGTCCGCCAGCGTCGCACGGCGACGCACGGAATGACGGATGGCGACGCACGGGGAGGCGCTACACAGCCGCGCTTCGAGACTCGCGGAGATGCGGAAAGGCTTGCGTGCGTTGGCGACGAATGGCGACGAATGGCCACGTCCCGGCGACGCTTCCTTGTGCGCGTCTCACGGGCAGCATGATGTGGACTCATGTGTCGCTACCAGCAGCGCCTCGTTGGTGCTGAGGTAACTTGTTTAGCAATTAGTTCGTGTTTTGGTTTTTTCCTGAAGGTTTCTTGACGGATCTCGTTTTCTTCCTGCAGAAATGGAGTAGCACGGAGACGCACTGCGTACGGCAGCGCACGGCAGAGAAGCACGGCGCACGGCGCACGCGGAGAAGCACGGCATACGGCGGAGAAGTATGGCGCACGGCGGAGAAGCACGGCGACCAACGCCTCCGCATGGGTCTCTCGGGCGGCGCTTGGCGGTGCTTCGACCGTCGCTACCAGAAGCGCCTTCCTCCGAATCGGGCTGAGGTAACTTGTTAAACAACTTGCTCGGTGTTTCGGTTTCTTTTTTTTAGTTTCTTGCTTCCTGCAGTTATTGACGGCTCTTGCTTTCTTCCGGACGGCGCTTCCGGCGGGCGGACGGCGCGTCTAACGGGCGGCCAGCGCGTTTAGCGGGCGGATGGCGGACACCCTCACATGGTAAGGTGCAGTTTCAATTTCCATTCGTTTTTTTCCCAGGATTCTAACCTTTTTCGTTGATTTCTCTCTTAGCGCAGGACCAGGGAAGCGGAAGCGGCGCTGCCGGCAACGGGACTTCAAGCTACGCCGACTCCCTCACATGGTAAGGTGCAGTTTCAGTTTCCATTCATTTATTTACCCGGATTCTAACCTTTTTCGTTGATTTTCCTCTTAGCGCAGGACCAGGGGAGCGGCGGGAGCGGCGCTGCCGGCAACGGGACTTCAAGCTGCGCCGACTCCCTCACATGGTAAGGTGCAGTTTCAGTTTCCATTCGTTTATTTTCCCGGATTCTAACTCTTTTCGTTGATTTTGCTCTTAGCGCAGGACCAGGGGAGCGGCGGGAGCGGCGCTGCCGGCAACGGACTTCAAGCTGCGCCGACTCCCTCACATGGTAAGGTGCAGTTTCAGTTTCCATTCGTTTATTTTCCCGGATTCTAACTATTTTCGTTGATTTTCCTCTTAGCGCAGGACCAGGGGAGCGGCGGGAGCGGCGCTGCCGGCAACGGGACTTCAAGCTGCGCCGACTCCCTCGCATGGTAAGGTGCAGTTTCAAATTGCTTTCGTTTCCTTTTCCAGATTCTTACATTTTTCGTTGTGTGCTCTTCTCTCAGCGCGGGACGAGTGGGAGCAAACGGCGCTGGCGGCTACAAGGGAGGTCAACGCGGACTCCCTCACGCGCGGGTGACGGCGAGGAGGCGGGGAGAAGCGGATCGAGGAGGCAGAGCGAGGAGCAAGGAGCGAGGTTGGAGGAGTTTGAGATCGCGGCCCTGGGGTGTCCAGGACACCCCAACTCTGGACACCCCGTCCCGCCCTTTCCTACAGCTTGGCGGGAGCAGGAGCAACCAGCGCAAGCGCCAGGCATGTAAGATGTGTTTGGGGGTGGGTACAGGACGTTTAGGAGCGTGTCAGATAGGCCCTCGATTAGGCACATGCACATGGGCGATGGTTTGGGTCATCATGGCAACTCCTCCTGACAACCAACGGGAATCGTCCGATTCGAGGTGTGTAACAGGACGTTTAGGAGCACGCGTTCGATTAGGCACAATCACGTGGGCGATGGGATGGGTGGTGGTCAGGTATGCCTCTTTTTTGTGACGGCTGGCCGTCATCCTGACATCACTGACAACAACGGAGAATCGTCCGATCCCATGTGCTAATTTATTCATTTGCCCGTGTTTCAAGTTGTGACTGATGTGTTAATTATTTCATCTGCCCTTCTTTCAAGCTTTGACCGTTTCCCCCCCTCCCAAGCAGGCCCCACGCGAATGACCCTCACCTCATCGTGGTGCGTGGGTGTAACGTCAGGGGCTTTTGCCTCTGACGGCCAAGAGGGGTCAAGAAGACGGCCAAGCTGCTGCTGTGGACGCGCAAGAAGACTCCTGCTGGTCAAGAAGAGTCAAGCTGCTGTGGACGCGCAAGTGGATCTGCTCTGCTCACACTTCAGCATAGGAAGCTTAGAAGGCTTATTAGCAACAGTTCCTGTTCTGACTTGTATCTAGTTATTTCATAGAATAGTGTTTGTACTTTTCAACGATGGTACTATCAAGAACTCCTCGGTGTCTATATATTAATATAAGATAAATAAGGCGAATGCACGTATAGTGCAGTTTGTACCAGCAAATATGTGGCTTGAAGTGCAGTTTTGACGACCCGATACTCGTAGTAGTCTACCTAAAGCTAGCACCTAACGCGCCGCGTCACACACTCCTCTCTAGCGAAAGCATGCCTAGTGCTACCGAATGCGCTACCAAGTGCGCTGCCTAATGCGGTACTTAATGCGCTGCCTATTGCGCTACCTAGTAATGCGCTACTGCTACTATCTCTGACGGCCGTCGCGGGGGACGCGGACGGTTTCGCCGAGATCGCACATGGGCTTCGCTGGCGTCGCCGTCGTCGTCGCAGCGGGGCGGCCGTCGCAAAGCAGCGCGTTCGAGTGCGACGAGTCGCAGACCGCCAAGTACTCCGCGCCGTTCGATCCCCGTACTCCCCCTCCCCCTCTCTCCTTTCCGCCCTTCCCCGAAACGATCGTCATGGGAATCCCGTTTGGCAACCAATGGCGATTGGGCGCCTGAACAGTCGTGTATGTGCTCCGATACGCACCTCCTCACGCGCTATCCAGCTCCCGAATCCAGCGCGCGTCCCTCGTCCCTCCCCCCATGATCGCTTGCTCCCTCCGCTAGCAATCGCGCGCCTGCGCCTGGTTCCCCCACTCCTATTCCCCAACGGCCCCCTACTCCCCTTTTCCCCTCTCCCCCTCTCCCCCTCTTCCCCTCTTCCCCTCTTCCCCTTCCCCCCACCTCCCCCCTTTCCCCCGCATCCGCCCCCCAGTCACGGCGCCATCCGCGCGCTACCTCGCAAGGTGCCTCTGCCTCGCCATGGGGAATCTCTGGGAGCAGCTGAGCAAGGCGCGCCTCCACCTGGCGGAAGCCATGGCTCTCTGGGGGCGCGCCACTGGGGGCGCACGCTCGTGCTGCAGTCGCATCGGCAGCAACAACCTGCCACCTGGCATGCTCTGCTCCCGCGTGCGCGGTCTTTGCCACATCGGTGCTGATGGGGCGGAGGAGGCAGGAGGAGGTGCCTCTGTGCTGATGGGGCGGTTCGTGCCGTGGGTGCGCGAGGAGTACCTCTGGCGGACAGTGCTGCCCGCTTGGGAGGGGCGAGGGGGAGCGAGCTCGGGGGAAGGGGAGGTGGACGCGGGGAAACGGGGGGAAGGACACGTGTGGCTTTCGTGACAGCTCAGAGGTGGCAGCAGAAGCACAAGCAGAAGCAGCATCTGCAGCCCAAGGTCCAATCACTCAGCGCAGCAGGGCACATACAGCACAGAGAGAGGGGCAGAGGAAGCAGGAGGAGGTGCCACTGTGGAAGTGGAGGGCGCAGAACAGATAAGGCGAGTAAGGCGAGCTTGCTGCTCTCACAGTGACCCGTACACGTCTGCCCAATCGCTCCTTGCATGTGTACTTCTGCCCCACTGCTTCATCCTCCTCTCTCCCTTCATGCCCAAACCCTCCATCATGGCTGCAAGCGACTTTCTGTTTGTGCCTTAACCCTCCCTGGCTGTATGGCCTAACCCTCCTCTGTGACTCCCTCTCTCTGGGTACTCTTCCAGGGTCACGAGTATCGAGAGCTCATGCAGGCAGCAGGGCAACGCATCTTCAGGGAGAAGCAAGCACCCATCTCAGCTGCTCCTGCCCTCACCATCGGGTTTCTTTCTCAGTGCTTTGTGCTTCTGCTTCTCCCCAAACAGCTTGTCCCCTCACCCGGTTCTTTTCCTTGCTTGCTCCAACTCCCCCACTGCTATTTGGCAGCCACAGTCGTACCAATCTGCTCTGAAATGCGCAGCTGCTGTTCCTAGCTTGCTCCAACTCCCCCACTGCATTAGCGTGGATGAGTCTGTGCCTGTGCCTGTTGTCCCTGTGCCTGCACATGCCTCTGCTATGCACGGTGCGCACAGCAAAGACCCCAGAGGCATTGCACGGTGCGCACAGCAACGAGCGGCTGGGCAACAACATGGATGGGGATCTGCACAACCTGCATGTGGACAAGGCATTGCGGCACCTGCACCTGCACCTCACGCTCCTGCAAACCCTGCCCAGTCAGTCCCCCCTCTCCCCACTTGCCCCTTCCCATGTGCCTGTTGAGTCAACTCAAATGACACCTGCCTAGTCAGTCCCCTCCCTGCTCACATCGTCCCATGCTCCTCTTCCCTCCACGCTTCATCACATTTCATCTGCCCCTCGTGCCATCCCATGCCAGTCTCCCCTTGCCTTTCCTCATCACCTTTCCCCCTCATATCGCTCTGCGGCGTATCGACACCCACAGCACCCCTCTCCACCCCTCCTTCTCTCCAGTCTCTCTGCATATTCTCTTCTCAAGCCTCTCCGGTCCGTTCCCTTCCCAAGCTCGTTCATGCTGTGCCAGGAACCTTTTCCCTGAGACTTGGTGTGTGGGGGGGTGGTGCTTGATGCTGGTGCCTGTGACTCAGTGGGTGCTGTTCTATCATCTGAGATGTGTGTATGTGAGGTGTGTGTATGCATGGGGTGCTGTATGAATGCGCTGCTGCATGGATGGTGTATTGTTGTGTGTGCAGCTTTGAGCAGCATAACGGCCATCACTGGTAGAGGCAAGCACAGCGCTTCTGGGCAGGCCAAAATTAAACCTGCGGTAAGGTTGGTGGAACAGGGGGAAGGGAGGCGGAGAGTGGGAGGAGTTCAGTGCCCCAGATCATCTCAATACTGGCTCATCTAATGCCTTGGGAATGGATGAGAGTTCTGGCTGTGAGGCTCTTTCTTTGGGTTACTTGCAAGCAGTTGTCATATCTCTGATGCGACAGTGGATAATACACGTAGAGCTACTGTAAACTGCGCGCGCACTACCCATTTCCAAGCTCAATTGAATGTTAGCCAACATTATCCAAGCACTGTATGTAGATGGAATGGTGATGTTACGTTGCTTACAAGGGTGCTTCAACAGGTTTATTGAAGTGTAGACATGTGCAATTCCGTGCAACAAAGAGAATGCTGACTGCAGTCATCTGAACATTGGCGACTGGCTGCCAAGTCTGGTTTTGAACTGCATTCCACGCACTCTCATGCTTGCTGGTACAGCTGTCATACGGTAAGGATCTTACTTATTTCTACTCAACGGGTCCTGACGAGGATGAAAATAAATTATTCCCCATACCACGCGGTCCCTCCACTATCCCAGCATTCTAGTAACAAGCAACTGCATGTATCAGATTTAGTGCACAGCGGCACACACCTGTCCGGGCCACCAGACCAGCGGTCAAGCACTAGAACACCACAGCAGCACTCTCCATGCGTTTAGTGGTCACCGGAATACACGCAGGTCCATTCCTGCTTGCCTTCACCGCACCACCACTAGCACCACCACCGGCATTCCTCTCCCTCACCTGCACACGCCTCACCACCTCCCCATGAATATCAAAATACACGCGCTGAGCCAGCATCACCTTCTGCAGAAACCGCCGCTTCTCCTCCTCCTCCCGCTCCGCCCCACCCCGCCGGCTTCCCCGTCCACTCACCAGCTCCTCCCACTCCTCATCCTCCCCACCCCCATCATCATCAAACATCTTAGTCCAATCAGGTAACAACCCTTCATCTTCAAGCTCATCCACCATCTCCTGAATCTCCTCCTCTAGAACATTAAAAGTCACTGCCATTTCCTCTTTCATGCGCCCAAATTGCTCCTGCATGTCTTCCCGCAGGCCCTTGGTGCGTTCTCCTAGTCCGTCCAGCCATGAGTGTAACTCGCGCTGCACGCTGCTCTGCACCTGAGCCATGTAATCCAGAGTGTCTGTAGGTAGCAGCCACCCAAGCCCTGCTCCTCCTCCTCCTCCTCCAGCAGCAGAAGGAGAATAAGGAGAAGATGCAGGGAGAAGCGGGGCGTCTACCCCTCCCAACCGGTTTCCACCTCTGTATGCCATAGCTGTGAGGTCCTCCACCTGCTCCCCACCGATTGCAGCAGTCCCGCCGCTACTGCTGCTGCCGTCACTGCTGCTGCTGCCGTTGCTGCTGCTGCGGCACAGATCAGTGCTGTCGCTGTTGCTTCTCCAGGCCTCTCTGTGCCACTGCCGGTCCCACTGCTGCTCCGAGTCATGGCAGCTGCTCCGGCTGTCTAGGCGAGTGGGCGTCTGAATGAGAGTATCCAGCAGTAAGAGGCTGCTAGCAGGGCTCAGCCGACCGTTGCTGGGCCACGGGGGAGGACTGTTAGCCATGGGGCTGTAGGGAAGTGGGCTGCAAGGCAGGGAACTGCATGGCATGAGCGCCGGAAATGCTCCTTCTGGGAAATCAGGAGAGCGCCCCAGCGGTTGCTCCAAGTCAGGCACAGGCGATTCACTGAAGAGAGCGCGAAAGAAGGGGCTGCTGGCTGCTGTTGCAGTGGTAACAGGAGAAGAAGGGGAAGCAGAAGCAACAGGTGAGGCAGACGAAGCAGGGGAAGCAGACGGAGGAGTAAGCTCAATGAGCGAGGGAGGAGGAGGGAGGTGGGAGAGCGGCCAGTGGCAACCGTGGGGGAGCGTGGAGAGCGGCAGAGGCTCGTCGCAGAGGGAAGAGTCGTCATCATCGTCGTGGTCGCAATGACCTTCGCGGACGCTGTCGCGGACACCGTCGTGGGAGCCTTCGTGGTCGTTTGTTGGGCGAGAGGTCGCTTCCTCCCCGTCGTGCTGTCCATCCTGACAGCACGCAAACACAGCAACTGGCACGGCGAGATCACCGCGTGCTGCGCTGCTCCACCCGGGAGGCTCCCGTGTGCGCGAGCTATCAGCACCAGCGCCCGGTCCTGCTCCGCCAGCCTCTAGCCTGACTTCACCAAGAGCCTCCACCCCGCGCGCATTCCCCTCGTCCCGCCCCTGCGCGTCACTCACGCGGTCACCCGCCCTCCCCATGCCGCCACCCTCGTGGTCGCACTCGCCGTCGCTATGCCTCTCCGCCTCTCTGGCACGAGTCCCGATTCCTTCACTCTTCCAGGTTCCGCCGCTCGTCTCGATTCTCGCATCACTGCGCACATCGTCCCACATGCTCGCGAGAACGCTTTCGAACGCCGAGTCATACGCGTCCCACGCCGCCGCCTCCGCCGTCTGTGGCGCCTCAACAATCGCGCGTTGCTCCGTCAAACCGCCGCCGCCGCCGCCGTCAACGCTACTGTTGCTGCCGCTTCGCGTTGCGCGGCTTCTCGCGGTGATTGCGCGGATGGAGGAGGTGGGCGGGGCGGAAGCGGGCTTGGCGGGGAGTGGTTTGCGGGGAGCGGGATGGGCGCGGTGAGTGCCGTCTTCCGCGTACACACGGCGAGTGGGGAGACTTGCGCAAGGGGCGGAAGGGGAAAGATTGAAGGAAGGAGCGGCGGTGGAAGTGATGTGGGAGAAAGAAGTATTGAAGGGAGATGGAAGGAATCATCAACTGGAATTTGAAAATTGTAAAGAAGGGAGCGGCGGAAGGAGGTGAGAGCGGGAGATTCAACGGAGTTGCTAGGACCAGGGAGGTCGTGGGCAAGGAGAGCACGTGCTTACAGTGATGGGAGACCCGGAGCGATGCGACGACGAGCAAGCGAACGAGGGGCAATGCCGTAGAGACGATTGCACGAAGCGTTACGCGCGTGGGGACTCACGTCAAGAGCGACGAGGCGAGGGATTGGGAGTCGGAACACGTGGCAGGCGTAGAGACGAGGGCGGCGCGAACGCGACGGTGAGTGGGCTGGTGCAGGCACGGAGGGCGGCAGAGACGGATACGCGGAGGTTCGAGCAAGGGGTTGCGGAATGGGAGCAAGAAAGCTGGATGAAATTGGATGGAGGTAAGCCAGAGTGGCATTTGCGAGGCAGTCAATTACATCGCAAGGTGCCGACTGACAAAGAAAGCAACGATATTTTAATGATAGGACAAAGTGAGTGTGATTCGTTGGGTGTGATACCCACAGCCGCCATTGGAGTAGAGTTTCCGAGATAAGGCCGGCATGTGCTGCCGTTATCGCGATGAAAGCGGTCGTCCATGAACCAGAAGACACGTGGCTCTCCGTAAGTAAATATATTCCAAGATTAGCAGCCAGATTACCGATCGGCTCAATTAGAAGCCATTGCTTCTGGATGAGAGGAAAACAACATAATGCGCTTCGTCAGCTGCGGACAGGGAGGGTACAGGTTCAAAGCAGGCATTCGATGCTGAAGTTGGGTGAAGGCTGTTTTTTTTTTTCGGAAGAAGGTGTTTTCCTTCGCATGGTTGGTGGGGTAGGAGATCGCAGAAGCAGCGAGCAAGAATTGAGAGAGAGCGAATGAGTGGAAGTGCTCGGTTGCGCGGTGCGTTGCGGAGCGGAAGTGGGGCAAAGATGGGGAAACATTTCCCCTGGGTTTCCCACATGGAATCACCGTGCAGCGCAGTCCTGTGAGCCAGAGCTGAGCAGCCTAGGCCGTGGATGCGCCCAACTGCCAGCAGTCAGTTTTGTGCAGATGTTATGCGGCGGCCAGCCAATTATAACAAAGCTTTCCTGCTCACAAAGCTTTCGTGGTAAGGGTGGCTCTGTTTGGCTTGTGCTGAATACAGTTGAGAGCCCAGGGGATTGGTGTAACGAGGATTTGAACTGTTTCAGGTGCCTCGCTTAGGGCTTGTCCTACGAGTTTGTTTACATTTTATGTCAACCTATGTAACCCTGTTTATGCATTGTAACTCTTTATACTGGACTACTGTAGTCATCCGTCTTCAATGACGCGCGACATTGACGCGTTGAATGCGTCAAAAGGTTCGTATTAAAAGCGTTAAAAACAGCTTTCAAGGTCCGCGTAACCCTAATTCCCAATCTCAGAATCCGCCCAGAAAAGGCGAACGGCCAATTTTGGCACTGTCATTTCGCAACTGGCCCGGGTTACCGCTCGCGAACCATGTTGAACGTGATTCGGGATAGGAGTTTTGTGTGAGTGGAGTGCTGAGTCCGCATGGTGCAACTTCGTTTGGCGCAGTGCTGACGGGCTGCGGTTTTTTCTGTCTATGTGTTCACTTCGCTGCATTGTCGAAGTTACTACCCGTAACGATTACGATTTGTTCCCAAAATGAACTCATGGGATACGCCCTGAGGCTTTTGCGACTACAGTTGGCCTTCACTTCACACCATGAAGGATCTCAGAAAGCGGTGGCTGATGAACGCTTTGGTGTGGTTCAGTCAGGTTTTAGGAAGCTACAAACAAGAGAACATTCAGACATCTACAATTTCAGCACCAGGAGCTAATTGTGATTGTTAGGATAGTTCATTACACCTCGTTATTTCGCAGAATGATAATACATTTTTTTTGAAGTGCTGAAAAACATGGATTCGGCCATTTTTTGAAAAAAAAAAAAAAGTTGTTTATTCTAACAGCCCCACATTTACAGAAGATGGACACATTCACCACGTTTGATGTTAGGATAGTGTAACGAAAATCTCTTTTTCCTTACTTCGCGTCCCTGCTCAACGCGTACATCACTGTAGCACCACAGTCAGCACCGTTACCACTCGCAATCCTCGCATCGACAATCCGCCCGCCACCTTCGCACGTCGCACCCCGACCTCACGGCTCGACGGGTAACCCGCGCTCCGGGCCTCCGCTTCGACACTTTTCCCAACCTCAGTCCCAGGCCCGTCGTACGACAACCACAGTCCATTACCGTTACCACTGTAGTTTCGCTATATATTCTTCGCTCATGCCTTCGCTCATTGTACTCTTACTTCGATAGTGCAATTCTCGTTCGTTCATTCAATTGCACTCGTAACACTTGGTATTCAGAGCCTACGATCTCTTCTCGGACCGCACCCACACCTTCGCTTCCCCACTATCTCAATTTTTGGGAGGGGTAGACGTCTCTCAGCGACACAGCACCGCCGCTCGTAGTGCTCTCGCGTAAGCACGCACGGCCACGACTGAGGCTCTCGCTGAGCTCGCCCGACACCCCCGCCATGGCCGAATTCACGCTCGCCACATTGACGCAGGAGCAGCTCGACCGTCTGGTGCGCCAACTCGAAGATTCGGCGCTCGAAATTGCGATGCTCACAGCGGAACGTGACTCCGCGCGTCAGCAATCAACGGTGAACACTCCAGCAGCACCACACGCACCAACAAATGCACCTGCACAATCGGACGAGCCAATCGTCATCTCGTCCGGGACACCAACACAACACGACAGCATGGAACAGCGCTCGGGCGCAGCCAGTGATAGTGCCGCCCAACCAATGCCTGGCATGGGAGGAAACAGGGGCGCGCCAAGCCCGCGGGAGCCTCGCGAAGCCCGTCGGCACGTGGAGTTCGCGGCGATAAGCGGCGAACAGGCCATCATGGCACCAATGCCACTCAAGCCGCAACGCCTGCCCTGTTTCGACCCGAGCCAGCGTGGAGGTCCGACGGTTCAAGCGTGGGTTTTCACGATGAACGTCTTCTTCGACGCGAATTACGCCGAGTCGGACGCAGCGAAGATTCGGTATGCCGTTTCGCTGTTAAGGGGCCCCGCCATGGACTGGTGGCGAGTCATCGTGACGTCGCCACGCGCCTACGAGCCACCGTCGCAAGAGGAAGGGCCCACGGGTCCAGCTGTCACCTGGAGTTCATTCTGCGAGACCGCCCAATACAGCACGTGGGATGCGTGGTGCGCAGGGCTTCGGGCGCGCTTCGAGCCGATCGCGGCTTCTATTTCGGCGCGTCAGAGATTGCGCACTTGGCGGCAGCTCGGGTCGGTTCAAGATTACACGAGCGGTTTTCTCGCACTTTGCGAGCAGGTCGGCTACATGCACGAAGCGGAGCGGGTGGACCGTTACGTCGGAGGGCTGAAGCCGGATATCTCGCACGAAATCATGCTGCGGGGACTCTCAAACTTCAACGAGATTCTCGCGCTCGCCGAGAAAATCGACATTCTACGCCGACCGAGACCGGGGTCCTACTACGGACATCGTCCTCGGGGACCGATCGAGCACGCCACTGTAAACGCTGTTGCAACGAATGCAGCTGCCGCACCGTTTAAGGGGCGCTGTTTTGCTTGCAACAGGCCGGGCCATCGCAAGAGCGAATGCCCAGAGGAGCTAAGGCGCCGCGGAGCAGAGCAGGGGAGGGAGTCTCAGAGGCAGGGAAACGCCAGCAGTCAGTAGAAGTTGGGCCAACTACTGACGAGACTGCCTGCTCGCCCAACCGCACCGACCCTCACCGAGTCACAGTACCGATTCACGCCATCGATCGGGCTCGGATGAATAAGGAGGGTACAACGACGGATTGCCCAGTACTGATCCACGGGAAAATACAGGGAGCAGCAGTGAAGATTTTTATTGACGGAGGAGCAAGCCACAGTTTAGTTAATACCGCAACTGCGCGAAAATTACAACTGACGCTTAGTCGCTGCTTACCTGAGATCGACGCACGCTTAGTTGATGGCACGCCACTGGCCATACGGGAGAAGGTGGAGAGAGTAAAAGTTCGCTGCGGGGGAAACTTCGGGTTTACACAGGAAATGCTCGCGACGACATTGGATGGGCATGATGTTTTACTGGGACGTGATTGGCTACGACGGTACAACCCACGAATCGACTGGACGACGGGTAGCTGCACTGTGCGAAGTAGCAGTAACTGGGTCATGCTACCTCGCTGGCAGTCGCCCGAGTCCTCAACGGTCCACGTCAACGCCATCACGATGAAACGGGTTGTCGCCGCTGGAGCTGACGTGTACGCAGTAGATATAGCATTAGTAGGAGAAGCGGAGCAGCCGAGCGATTTTCAGAAACTGTTGGCAGCAGTACCGCCCGAACTACAGGAACTGTTGAAACGGTACCCGGGGATTTTTCCAGACGATTTACCGGAAGGGCTGCCACCTCAGCGGGCGCATGATCATAGGATCGAGTTAGAACCGGGGGCACAGCCAACTGTACAGCGCCAGTTCAGACTGACACAGCCCGAGCTCGACGAACTGAGGAAGCAGTTAGACTATTTGTTAGAGAAGCAGTTTATTCGACCAAGTTCGTCACTGTTCGCCGCACCGATACTGTTCACACCGAAAAAAGACGGAGGGTTTCGCATGTGCATCGATTACCGAGCGCTCAACAGGGTAACCGTCAAGTCGCGGTACCCCATTCCCCGCGCCGACGAACTGATCGACCAACTGCGAACAGCACGGGTGTTTTCGAAAATAGACTTACGGGGGGGTTACCATCAGATTCGGGTCGAACCATTGGACTGCGCCAAGACAGCATTTAGGACTAGGTACGGGTCGTTTGAGTACACGGTGATGCCTTTCGGGCTGACCAACGCGCCCGCAACATTTCAGATGACCATGAACGAGGCGTTTAGGCCACTCTTAGATAAATGCGTGATAGTTTACCTCGACGACATCCTCGTCTACAGTCGCGACAAGCAGCAGCACTTGGCGGATCTCGAAGCAGTATTTAAAGTTTTAGAGGAACATCGATTACTCACCAAGGGCTCTAAGTGCGAGTTTTTTCGGGACAGACTAGAATTTTTGGGGCACGTTATTTCGGAGGCTGGAGTTGAAATCGACCCAAAGAAGCTGGATACGGTAAAAGCGTGGCGTCCCCCGACGAACATCACGGAACTGCAGAGGTTTTTAGGGTTCGTTAATTATGTTCGTCGGTTCGTCCCCGACATGGCACAGTTGACTGCCCCGCTGACGGATTTACTGCGAAAGGGGGTCGTTTTTACGTGGGGGGAGAAAGAGCATGCTGCTTTCTCTGCCCTGAAAAATGTCCTCTGTGCACCGCCCGTCCTGCGCATCGCCGACCCACACCGCCCCTTCGAGGTTGTTACAGACGCAAGCGACATCGCCATTGGAGCCGTACTGCTACAGGACTTCGG